CACCATCATGGGCCAGGGAACGATGGACCAGCAGGTGGAGTGGCTGAGCAAGGCCTGGGACTGCGAGATCATTGGCACCTACGCTCAGACAGAGCTGGGTCACGGAACCTTCCTGCGTGGCCTGGAGACCCGGGCCGACTACGATGCCAGCACCCAGGAGTTTGTGATAAACACACCTTCACTCAGTGCCTACAAGTGGTGGCCAGGAGGATGTGAGTTCTAAATGCTTTTTAATACCTATAAATTGTAATAATACCTCTTATTTCCAGTGGGACACACTGCCAACCATGCGGTGGTGGTGGCTCAGCTCTACACCAAGGGCGAGTTCCGAGGCCTGGCTCCCTTCATTGTCCAGCTGAGGGATTCCGACACGCACCAACCCATGCCGGGCATCGACATCGGAGATATTGGCACCAAGCTCGGCATGAAGGGCGTGAACAATGGCTATCTGGGCCTGAAGAACGTGCGCGTGCCTTTGAACAACATGCTGATGAAGAACCAGCAGGTTCTGCCCGATGGCACCTATGTGGCGCCCAAGAACAGCGTGCTTACCTACGGAACTATGGTAGGTTTATCAATCCTTACTCTTTTTAAGGCAGATTTTTAATTCAGATTTTTTTTACAGATGTTTGTGCGTTGTGCTCTGATCCGTGATACTGCACAGAGCCTGGCCAAGGCATCCACCATTGCCACCAGGTACTCGGCTGTCCGACGACAGAGCCCCATTGATCCCAACCAGCCGGAACCCCAAATCATGGATCACACCACACAGCAGCTTAAGCTTTTCCCCCAGATAGCCAAGGCTATTGTTTTTAAGACGACGGGGGATGGCATTTGGAACATGTACAATGTGATATCTGGCGAGATCGAGCAGGGAAACCTGGATCGCCTCCCGGAAATGCATGCTCTGTCCTGCTGTCTGAAGGCCATCTGCAGTGCTGATGCCACCGCCGGCGTGGAAACCTGCCGTCTGTCCTGCGGCGGACACGGTTACATGGACTGCTCCAACTTTCCCACGATTTACGGCATGACCACAGCTGTGTGCACTTATGAGGGCGAGAACACAGTGATGCTGCTGCAGACTGCTCGCTATCTGGTTAAGGTCTATGGACAGGCGCTGAACGGAGAGAAGTTGGTGCCCACGGTTTCCTACATAAATGAGGCACTGAACCAAAAGAAATTCGTTAACTTCGATGGATCATTGGAGTCCATTGTCAAGGCATTCCAGTTTGTAGCCGCCAAGTGAGTGGAGCTTAGAAAACTTATATCGAATTAAGTATTTAATGGTAAATTTGTATTTTAGCAAAACCCGCATTGCCTACGAACAGATTGAACTGCGTCGCAAGCAGGGACATGGTGTTGAGGTGGCAGCTAACCTGTGTGGAACCTTCCTGACAGCAGCTGCAGATGTAATTTAAAATGTTCTATTGTGAGATTGCATATCAAACTACATGTGTATCTATTCCCTGCAGCTTCATGGACGTGCCTTCCTGGCGCAGACTGCCTACACGGAACTCTTGGCCTTATCCCGCGAGGTCTCGCCTGCTTTGGCTGATGTCCTGAAGGTGGTGCTGGAGCTTTATCTGGTGGACGCCTGCCTCAACCGCATTGGCGACTTCTTGCGGGTAGGATTTATAAACATTTTCGGTTTCAAACATTCTAATTAACATCTCTGCTCTTACAGTTTATTGATCTAACCGATCAAGACGTCACGTCACTAGAAGTGCGCCTAGAAAACTGCTTAAAGCGCCTGCGTCCCAATGCCGTCAACCTGGTGGACAGCTTCGATCTGCACGATCGCGTTTTAGACTCCGCATTGGGCGCCTACGATGGCAATGTGTACGAGCACATCTTCGAGTCTACGAAGAAGAATCCGCTGAACAAGGAGCCAGTGAACGGAGCATTCCACAAGTACTTGAAGCCATTCATGAAGGCTCACCTCTAGGCTCTATTTTATTACTCGGGAAGATCCCCTCTATTGTTACTATTGTAAATATACCTATATGTTTGTATTGTTTCCGTATTATGCAACTGTATGCTTAGCAATTGGTCCGAATGACAATATTGAAGTCGTGGCTTGTGCAGTCGGCTGTAAAGTTATACACAAATAAAATATTATTCAAAACAGCTTTTAGTGTGTGATTTTTGGGCTTAACTAAATCGCTTTATTAAAGTTTTGTGTTCAGATGGAGTTGCAAGATAGAGAGTAGCTCACTTATTGACTTCGTACACTGATGAACGGATTTACGACGCACTGGCCTTCGAGTTGCGTTGTGCGTAGAGACGCCTCAGCAATCGGTTGCCAGCCAGGAATGTGAATACTGCGATGGGGATCAGCAGGCGCAGTGTCTGGAACATGTTCAGTTGCAGCCAGAAGACGAAGAACAGCACCAGGATGCCACCGAATCCCAAATGGAACCCGATCGTGCTGGGCGCCAGCGTTAAATTCGAGACATTAATGCCGAGCTTGCCCCAGAACACGAAGAGCAGGACCAGCGGAGTGATGCACAGTCCGGTGAAGATGTCGGACACAATGCGAGGCGGGCGCTTGTCGGGCACACGGAACTGATGGATGATCTCGGGCAGGGGACCAGCACTGCTCTTGGGCTTGACTTCTGTAATAGATTACCGATTAGTTTTACTTAAAGATAAAAAGGAGGTAATATTACCCTTCTCCTCGTTGAACTTCAACTGCACTTCGGCCACCAGCCACTCGAAGGAGTTGGACAACGAGGCATCGCCCACGGTCAGGTAAATGCTGTAGGTGCCGCTCTGGTACTGGAAGTTCTTGCCATTGTTGCCCACATCCATGTCGAACTTGTAGGCCTTGCTGCTATCCTGCTCGGCCACAAAGATGATCTCCTTGTCGAGCTTCTTATTGTACAGCCGGACGAAGGCCTGGTGGACAGCCAGGGGCTTTCCGTTGGACTCCTCCACCAGCAGGGCCTTCAGCAGCAGCTTCTGGGTGCTGTCCGCCGAGAGAACCTCCTGCAGCTTGCCGGGATAGGTGACGCTCTGTTTGCGGGTGGCGGCGCTGGCATCGGACTCGGCAATGCCCACCTCCAGGGACTGAACCTTGACGCGGCCGAGAATCTTGAACTGCAGAGTCTGCGTGTAGACACCATCGGCACTCAACTCCGCCTGGTAAACGCCGCGAGCGGGCTTCAGGCTGGCCAAATCAGCCACATAGGTGGTCTTGTCGGAGGATTTCGAGGCCACAGCGATCTTCTCGGCCAGCACAGAGCTGTCCTTCTTGTTGGTCACCTTGGCAATGATGGATTTGGGGGCGGGAGACAGAGGTTTGCCCAGCAGATCAACCACAGCCACATTTAGAGTCGGGGACTGGGCCTCCAGTTGACCATTCCCAATGAGCTGCACGCAAACGGGGGCAATCTTCTCGGCTCCACTGATGGTCTTCAGCGCCTCGATCAGCACATGGGCTCCCTTGGCCGTTTGGACGGACCGCCGGCTGAGGAAGTAGTTGGCGAACTTGACCGCCTGATCGGCAGTAACGGGCAGCGGTTTGTTGAAGGTCTTGCTCACGCCGAAAGCACCGTTGATTATCAGCGAGGTGATGCTGAGGCCGCCCTCGAACTGGAGGAGCTTGCCGTCCACTTCGTCCGCCTGCACGATGGCATCCTCCACGCGATTGGCAATGAATGAGGCACTGGCTCCCAGAAAGGGGGCAACATTGAAGGCATAGCCCAGACCGCTGAGCGTATCATCCTTCTTGAGCAGCTCCTGGAGCCGCTTCACCAGTTTTCCCTGAGCCGCTTCGTTGATCTCGACGCCGAGCACCTTGTGGGTGACCACGCGGTAGAAGATCTCCTGGGAGCTGCCCAGTTCCGAGTTCAGGGAGGCGTACACCTTGGAGAGCAGACCCTCGTCGATCTTGGCGGAGCAGCCCAGATTCTTGCTAGCACCAATGAAGTAGTAGTCCTTTTCGAAGCTCTGCAAGGAGTCAAAGGGAGTAGGATAAGTAGGGATACACATATTTCGGCGTATGTTAGACAGAACCCACGTTCAGCTTGGATTCCGCATGCAGCGTGGCAATCTTCTTGCACAGCGGCTCCTTCTGCTTGGCGTCGGTCAGCTGGATGTTGAGGCTGGAGAAGAAGACCGACTGCAGGTCGCTGGAGCCGAATCCGTCCACGAAGACATTCTGCAGGCGGCTGAGATCCTTTTGCCCTAGGTGGCTGTCCACGGTGCGGGCGCTCCACGTCGGCCCGCAGGCGACCATCACGCCGAGGAGAATCAGACCTGGAATTGGAAATATATGGAGGCGAGGAAACCATTAAGAACCATTTACATAGGAGTCGCCGGCACTCGCTTAACCACGAAAATCAGACAGAGATAGCAAGAGAGCGACGACTTTGCAGCCGGCGTTTCCACAGAAGGTGGCTTAACGCCCTGGGTTTTCGCCCGAAACAGCGAGCATCTTACGCACCTAACTTTAACATTTTCCTATTTTGTGGTTGCGCTCTCACACGCCGCTTATATTCTATAGGAAATTAAAAGAAAATCGCTCAAAAAGCACCGCCTGTCCCTCGATATTTTATACACGTCAGCGAAATATACCGTTTGGCTCTAAAAAATATACTGTTCGTAGCATTTTCGACTATTAAAATATACCAAAAACTTTTCACACATGGTCACTCTGAAATACCAGGTGAGTGTATTCGCTGATAGGTTGGGTCTCCGCTGAGACAGGATGGTGTCTCGGCTATTTCAAAATGTGAATTGTATAGTGATGGGAAAACAGCGATATATACGTATCGATAACACTAAAACTATCGATATAATGAACATTGTGTCCGTTATACCAGGTTGTTTTCTCCGCTAAAACAGAAGGGTGTTCCCGCTATGTCAGGAGGCTGTATTCGCTAATTGCCAGTCGATCGGATTTTTAAAAAATTGAATTAAGTTAATAAAAATAATAGGGACTTCCTAGATTGCACTGTTAAATATATTTTTAAACACACAGATTCATAGTGAAAGATTTAAGTTCAAGGGTTTAAAATGGTCGTAATTCCCAAGCCCCTCTCATCTAAAGTGCAAACTTTTCCGTACACTCGTTTATAGGTCGAGTTATAGAATATTTCCTCTTAAAAGTCTGGGTGACATCCCCTTCGTGATTCCAGACGGTAACGGCAGTGGTGCAGTACAGTGGATACTTGTTAATCAGAACCTCCTCAGTTTCGCCGTTCTTTGGTGGGACATCCTTACAGAATTGGTCGTAGTACTCGGTGCGGTCCTCACCCAAATCCACTTGAGCCGAAGCCTGTCGGTTGTATTCGTCAAAGAGCTCCTGCCATAAGAACTGCTCCATACGATTTGCCCGAGTGGCTGGAGAACCATTAGGATTATCAACCAAATTCTATAGTAATCCTACTGACTTACGCAGAACTTTCTTAATTTTGGGTGCAGCAAAGCTGGCTTGGGACTCCGTAAGTTCCGAGGAACAAGGACCCACTGGGAGCACCAAATTATTACCACGATCAACCATTTCAGAATTAGTTTTTTAATCGTTTTGTTCGATCTTAATACTAAGTTAAATAATTTATTCGTTTGTCAGTGGCCGACTGACGACTTACAAGCTACTTCGATAAAACAAACTAAACGGTTTTTGCTAGGCAACGGATTGCTCCTCTGGATTTCCTTCTGCTTCCGCTGGCGAATCGTCTTCCACTATCAAGGACACCTCCTTGGGTCGGAGTATACAGTAGTAAACGATTAGGGTGGCGAGGAATAGGACTCCACTGTAGACGATCCACTCCCAGATGAAGCCAAACCACCAGGACTCGAACTCCTCGTTGGCGTACCAAATCGAGGATATGGTAACGTTCTCCACGAGGGTGAGCACCAGGTAACCCCCGTACCACAGACGAATGTTCTTGAAGCACACCCGGAACTCCAGTAGCACAAAGATGTAGATGTAGGCGAGGAGCAGGAGGAACAGGTTGCGACTCCAGCTACCACGACAGCGGGTCTCCAGGGCGAGGCAGCCGAGCATCAGGGCATAATGTACTCCAATAAGGATAAAGAAAGCCCGCGGATAGAAGACACAGAAGGTGGACAGAGCCAGCATCCGCATGGTGATGAAGGCGATCCAACCGAAGAAGGAAACCGTTCTACCCGCAAAGTCATCCTGCTGGATGCCGTTAAGTATTTTAGTGGGTCTCGGGAAATAAAAGTCCACCACGTCCTTGGGCGTCAAAGGAGACGCCTTGGGTGACTGTGGAATCAATATACTCCGCTCCTCGGGCTCCTCCTCCTTGACCCTGCCCATCAGCAACTTGGGCGGGTGGGGAACCTTCTCTTTGATGTACAACTGAGCGTTGACCAGCAGCATGTCCTTGAAGGTCTCCAACTGGGACAGAGGTCGGGTGACCCGTCGACTCTTGCGGTGCTCCGTATCCGACATTGTGCGTCGCAAATCGGGAGTGGGAGGATCATCTTCAGTGGGTTTCAGAACAGGCAACTCGGGTGGCGCTGTTTTTGGAGGAGGTGGTGGCGCCGGTGTCTCAGGAATGCTGTCCAACACCTCAATGGTATCGAGGTCTCCCAGATCCTCGTATCGAACTTTTAGTTTGAACCTTGTGCCCTGTATCTTCTCCTCATCCGTGGCATTATCCCGTGGTCCGGAGTGAAGCAGTGCTCGAGTTTCCAGCTGCTCCAAGGCATCGTTGTCCACCTCATCTTCCCCCTGAATGTGCAACTCATGGGTGGCTTCACCGGAATTGGGCAGTGAACGGCGTGCCCTAAAGTTCTCCATGATCTTGTCCGATTCCGGGAAACTGGTGATGGTCCTCTCGGACTCCCGCTTCTTCCTCGCAGCTTCGCAGCAGAGACGCTCATTCTGCTCCAGGTGACAGCGATGAGTGGCAATCTGTTGGGGCGTCGCCCAAGGATAATGGCGACCCACCCTTCGCTGGCTTTCAATCCGATGATAACTGGTGGTTATGGCAGCCAGATCGATGGCGGAGAATACCAGGGATAGGGCCTGAACGGCAGCTGGAAAATAGGGATATTAAATGTATCTTAAAGATAGATTATATCTTACAAGTCTCGTAGTTCCTGAACATATCCTGATCAAGCATGTAGTAAAGCTGCAGGATGATCTGCGGAGCTGCCTGTGCATAGGCCTGGACCAATAGGTAAAGCTCTATGTTGGAGGTTTCCGTTGCCTTGGCCAAGCACTTCATGCGCTCCACATCGTCGTCGTCGTGGAAGAGTCCCTCGATGGCCCAAAACAAGCGCGTACAAAACCTTATCGGTGAAAAGTTAATAAAGCCACATTTCTAACCATCGACTCACCTGTAAATCACAAAAAACGGGAATAGCAAGAGCTTGAGCAGTCCAATGCCAAGGGCACTGCATTTATTCCGCTCGGAGCAGGCGCAATCTCGCTGCTCCTTAGAAGCCGCCACCAGGAGGAAGGTGATCAGCGGGGGAAGAATCACCAGGACCAGAGTGCCGGCTCCAAAGCCCGGCTCCTTCTGGCTGAAGTGCTGGTAACTTAGAGCCAAGTCCGAGGACGTTTGAACAATGTAAACCAGGAGACCCAGACAAGTTGGCACTATGTAGGAAACCCAAATCCTCGTGCGACTACGGATGGTGTAACCAAGTATGTGAGGCGGAGGATTGGCGGCATGAACCTCCGTGTCTGCCATGATCTATTCCTTCTAAGGGAGTTCCCCTTTTAAACAGTTTCACCAATAACCTCGTTCTTTACATCTGCAGCTTGCGAAATGCGCGGTGATACTGAACCTCAGCCACTATGAGTAACCGCTCTCTTTTAACCACTATCAACTTAATGTACAGATAAGATTAAAGTCACCCAAACATTTTTGAGGGGGGAAGGCCACTGTTTGTTTACGTTTTGCGCCATGAATGAGAGAGATACAACTCCAGGGAGTGCAAAAATAATCAACGTAGATCGATTTTACATTATTTAAGATCAATTTTAATTTGATATGTGGCCTGGTAAATTTGACCTGGTTGAAAAGAGTATTTAATGTAAGAACGATATGGGTTTTGCATGACCTGAAATTTACATGGCCATGTCGATTTTACGGGAAAAAAGTTACAATCCTTTCAAATTTACGTTTTAACAAATAAGAATTAATAAAAATACATAGAACAATAATTTTCCAAATAAGGACCGTCATAATAAAGATAATATAGATTTTGCTTTATAATCAGAGTTTTTACCTCGTCTACAGGTGTTTTTGGGTAAACCTATCGATCCCGAAATTCCTTTTATCTTTCTTAAACTCTTACGTCCTTCATTATTTCTTTATTCTTCCACAATAGACAGATTTAAAACAGAATACTAGCGTTTAGGTGTAGATGCGTGGACCTAGGAGTCGTACCAGGTCTTCTTCATCCAGTTGGAAGGCTTGCAGGGCTCGTCGAGCACCACGAAGGATCCAGGTGGCTGCTTGTTGGCCCGGCGACATCCCACGGCGTACTTGGGATTGCCCTCGATGATCGAGGAGTTCTCCCGGCAACTGGCCGCGTTCTGGAGGACAGATGCTCGTCGGCCGTATCTGGCCGGCTTCTTGGCCACATTGCCGCCCACATCCTCAAACCTGGCGGGCTGCTCTACCGGCTCCTTAACCTGCCTCTGACGCGATGTCCTCCGTTTGTGGGGAGCCTGGACCTGCGGTTGTCTCGCCTCCAGTGAGGAATCGGAGGTCTTGCGGAGATTGCCCGGCGGACCAGCCGGAACTCCTTCCAAATCCCTGGGACGCTCGCGCAGTTGATAATTGTACTGCGCCCGTCGATATTCCGGCGTGGCCGTCACCTCCGAGGGATGAACTGTGACCAGGACAGGGGTTTCCAGATCCTCATCCGGCTGATGGTGGACGGAGGGGGAGGGGGCGTGCTGGACGCCCGAGGTGGGCAGCCGGAAGCAGGAAGTGGGCTTCTGGACGATGGGACGGGAGCGCGGAAAGTCCTGGTAGTTGTTCCTGTACTCCGGATTGAACTCGATCTTGCCGCGCAGGCGGAGGAAGGGCTCCCGCGGCTTGCCCCGCTCCGGCATCTCGGTGATCTGCGGGTCTCGGAAGCTCTCGTGGTATTCGGGAATCTCTTTGGTGAACTCCCCGCGCGGACGCAGGTGGTCGTCTGTCCGGAGGGACTTCTCTTTGGCCACGTGCTTGGGTGGGTCGATGAATTTGTCGCGATACTCCGGCACCTCGGCCCCGTTGGCACCGAAGGTGGAGGCAGAGGCCTCCGAGCCGGATACTCGCAGGTTGTCGTCCTTCTTGATGGGCGCACTCTTCGAGTAGTTGGCATACATCCGAAAGCTGTCCCGGTACTCCGGCACGGCCACGAACTCGCCCTGGATCTTGATGCTGCTCATCTGGGGAATGGAGTGCGCCTTCTCGGGGAACTGCTGGACGAACTGGCGGCGGTACTCCGACGGCTCCGGCACCTCACCCTGCTGCTCCCGGTCCACAGCCTGGGCCCGCATCTGCAGGTGGCACCGCTGCTGCTCCTGGGCGGCCACATCGCGTCGGAACTTGTCCGCCGCCAGCTTGCCATTCGGTTGCTGGCTCCTGGACGCCGCCACCTCGGACTCGTCGAGGAACACCTCGCGTGGCAGTATCTTGGTGCTGGGATCCAGCATGAGGTACGAGGAGTTCTTCATGCCATCGGTGTCGGTGGTGGCACCGCTTCCCTCTCCTCCCAACTGCAGGTTCTCCGGATTGCGAACGGGAAACGTGCGGGAGCTGTGGAGGGGCAATCCATTTTTGATTAGTCCTTATTCAATTACTGACCAATTTGCTAGAATTCAAGATAATTGATTTTCTACTTTGATCCTATTTCTTGCAATACAATTCTTGAATACTTAATAATAATAGGTTTCTGTTGAATTTTCAACAATTCAGCAACTTAGTTTATGTTTTATCGCAATATTAGTTATAAATAAAATGTTATGATGAATAGCTATTAATATTCCTTTAAACCTGTAATTTAATCGTGAACGAAGTTCAAATTCAAATTGCTTTACAAACTATTCTGTTATAATTATTGGATGTATTATTGCTTTATTGCTTTACAAACTATTCTATTATAATTATTGGATGTATTATTGTTTTATTGCTTTACAAACTATTCTATTATAATTATTGGATGTTGTGATTCTGCCTCTGTAAAGAACTAACTCAATCTAAATTTTTCAGTTTCAAAAAACATAAGAGAAAAATTTAAGATTTAAATCTGACTAAAGGTTAATAAAAAACTGAGTTAGTATAAAACTATTATACACCAGTATTTATATTATACTTAGATATATAACATGTTTTCATTGGTTCTGAATACTAATTGTGGGGGAACTTATTATCACTATTCTCTATAGTCTATAATATCTATAATCTACCACTTTCTCCGTTATTACTCACAATCGCAGGTCCTCGGGCGTGTACCAGTGGTATTTCTCCTGGTGCTCCGACAGCAGCTGCATGAATCCCTCCAGTCGCAGCGAGGTCGCTCGTCTCAGCAGGGATCGGGGGCGGGACTGGGTGCCCTGTCCACGGAAGTGCTTGCGGTACTCGGACTTCAGGGAGCCGAAGCTGGGCACTGGCTCATCGCCGCTGAAGAGGCACACGTTGCTCCGGGTGTGCAGATGGACGGGCTGGCGGCGGCGGAAGTACTTGAGGTCATCGACGGCTATGTACTCGTGCGGATGCTTGATGGCGAACCGGCTGAGATCGCCCTGCTTCTGGTTGGCTGTGAGATCCGGCTCGGAGAAGGATCTATTCCAGCCAAAGTCGGCATCAAAGCTGCGAAGGGATAGGAATCTGGTTAGGATCTCTCTCCTAGGTGAAAAAGGGAAACATCCGATTCGACTTGTCTTCGGCTGCAAACTGAGCGGAAAAGTTACGGGTATCGCTGGTGGTCGCCAGCACAACCAAATAACAGGTAGGTTCCTTAATAACGGGGGCATAAATTCCTCCATCTCCACCTCCACCCCCCTGCAATTGCAATGGAAAAGTCTCGGATCGGCGGGACTGAAAGGCAAAAGGCAAAAGGCAGCTAGTGAAGGCATTTCTCCACATCCACCTCCATTTCCATTTCTGGCCCATGGCGTGCTCCACCGCCAAGTTGCTAGGCACACTCACAAACCTCTGTAAACAAACTAATGAATGGGAAAAGGGTCCAAATTGCTGCAAATTAGAAAATTGTCTATTGGATTCGACGGGAGCTAAGGACAGGGTCGATCTGAGGTTTATGGGGGTTTCGAAAAAAAGGTTTCTGGTCCTCATGCTAGGCTAATGGCAGTTTTTATATGTCGAAAGTTGTCTTAGTTGTTTGAAACTGATATAAAAAAAATAAAAGGTAATGGATGGACTTTAAATAAAAAGTCCTAAAACGTACTTAAAACTAACTTTACAAATCCGTTTATCAAAACCTCCATAAAAAATACTTATTTTAAATATATTTGTATATTAAATATGCAAAGTACTTGACAAAGTTAATACAAATATTTTATTGAACAGGTTAAAAAATTAATTTTTAAGATTCGTAAACTACAATTTTTTATATAAAATGTTTTTGGTGAAGTTATAACAAAGAATCAAGAAATCATTCCTAAACCCCTCAAAACGTCCCTGTTCTCATGTGATACCTTGCTCACTCCAATCAATGCCAATCAATATAGCTCAGCAAATTCCCGACTTTTGTTAGTCCTGACAACGCCCGCGCCACTCTGACTGAGGTCCTTGGTCCTTGGTAATCCATATCCGGAAATGAGTTTTTTGTTGAGGCATTGCCAAGGACTCGTCGCACAGCTGGGGAGCCATTAAAAATGCACAAGGATTGCCAGTCAAAGGTGAACCTGCGCGCATGCAAATTGCACCTTGTTTTTACTGCCCCGAACGGAACCGGGCTAAATGTGACCACAAACACCTGTTGCTCGCACATCGCAATTTAAAGTATTTCTTCGTTATGGCTGAAAAGTTCTCACGTGCGGGAAAAAGTGCCAGCCTAATGGCCATAATTGATGGCTGCCAAAATGTTGTATTAGCCGTAATCCAACATTTCTTTGGGGGAGTGTGCGTGATTCGCTGGCTGAATCAGAGCCAGAAACGGAAACAGACAGGAACATAAAAGGGCTGCCACGTAACCAGGTAGCCCAGAAGTCTGACCCAATTTCGGGCCAACTTTCGACCCCTTAAGAGTTATAAACTTCGTAGCGAAAGTCCAGCGAAAGCGAACGACTAATCTTGACAATGCCAAATGACCTTTGGCTATTTTTAAATCGGGCCAGCGTAACGCAACCCATTTAAATATGCTAATCAGCTAAGGGCCCCTGCGATACCTGGACACTCACATAATTACAGTTGCAGATTTATGACGATTTAATTGCTGTTACACAGCCTAGTCACGCCACAGGGCGTATACGTAATGCAATAAACAAGAATGCACCATTATGTTAACAACAGTTAAAAAAACAAGACAAGGTCAACCGCAACCGGAATTTCGATTAGGTCGAACATCACTCACTTTAAATTAGTGGAGAAGCAAATAGTTTCTAGTTAAAAGTGGACTATAGAAAATCCTGGTTCCTACTACTCTACCCTACTTAGACGCAAAATAAATTTTACCCTAAATTTTAGAAAACCGCCGTTAGAATTTATTTTTTCTAAACATTTCTTTTTCTAAGATTAAGGAAATGGTTACCATGAACTAAAATCACCCTAAAAACATTAAAAAATTTCCATATAATTATAAATTACTTTCTATAAAACCTATAGGTTTCTTACTCGGTCATTAGGTGTATAGAAAATTGTTTTAGGATAGGATTAAGTTAACTTTCTTTTACTTTGTTTCCATTAAGGAAAGGTTTTTCTTCTTACAAACCACTTTAACCAAAAAATTAGGCCACTACCTAGTAAAAAGTGGGATAAGAAGTGAGACCCCTTAGACTATCATAAAAATGCACATGAAACCACTTTAGCAGAAGGTAAATAAGGTCAGTTTTCCACCGCCTGTTGAAAGCTTTAACTTGAATACTTAAAGTTAAATCTAGTATAGTAGGGAACTAGTCCTTACACATCGTTCGTTTTCCAGTCGTAGGCAATCGCCATAGTGGGTTTCCTGTTTTCGGGGGCTGCACTTTAATTAAAAATTTAATGAGTCTGCACTTTGCGGGAATAACTTGGGACACTCAGGTGGGGCGCACCCTTGGCCACCTGACCACTTGGCCAGCGCCTCCAAACCCACCGAACCGCAAATGGCGCCATTCAAGCGCAGCTCGCCGCTCCACAACTTGACCGCTCAGATCGTAAATTCCAACTGAAAGGCACCAAGAAGTTGGCCACTTTTCGCACGCCAACTTTCCGACTTTTCCACCTCTGCTTCCCAACTCCACTGCGCTTCTGCTTTTCCAACATTTTCCCACGGCGACTGACTTGAGGTGTCACTGGGTAGGTAGTACAACAAAAGAGGGGTGAATATGGGGATTTAATTTCTTTTTTTTTGGGCTGTACCCTAAGTGCTGCTGCATGCAATCGTGTAGTTTATGACCTGCTACTCCTCCTCCTCCACTGAAATCAAAATCAAAAGTTGCCAGCTGCAGTTGATTTGAATATGAAAATGGTGTTTTGATTTGCGATTTCGGCCACCCGCTGCAGCTGTCAGAGTTGAGTTCCTTAACCCAGTTCGCAACATTTTGACGCCTCGGTAATGAAACCATGCTTATGAGGCTCCAACGAGCCCATTTGCCTGATTTACTCGCCTCTTAACGATTTCATTTCGCGACGCGGTCTCCATCATGATAATAATTTCCTTTTCGGCTGGCACGCAACTCCGGACTACATGGCTTTCAATTGTCATGAGCAGCGGTGGCTTCCGGGGTGCAAATACGCGGATTCAAATGCGGATGCGGGTCAAGGGCAAATCAATTCGCCTGCGGCGTCGGAAATGTTGGCTGACAGAGTGCTGTTTCGAATCGGATTGAGTGGGATTGGCGTCTACTTTATTGCGTCTATTGCTAAGTTGTGTTAACTAATGTGTGTGTGTGATCAGACCTTAGAGAGGCCCTCCCAGCGATCCGGAACTGTGAGGAAATAGCGATCCATGGCGTCGATGAAGCGCTGCTTGTAGCGCTCTGGATTGACCACCGTAGGATCCTTGCCCTTGCCGCCCAGGATGCCCGATCCCTTGATAATGGATTCCACTTTCTTGTCCAGCGTGAAGGTGCGAATGTAATCTATAAAATAACAAAATAAATCATCTTGATCCGTTTATCTAGCTCTAATGCTTACCTATAATACCCAGAACAAGAACGCTGTTTTTCTTGTCCAAACCCACCAGCAGTGAGTAGTCCATGACGAGGTTTCTCTCCAGAAAGGAGGAATCCCGCTGGATGGCATCCCTTAAGACTGTTTTACTATGCGACAGTACATACAAAGGCTTTGACCAGGACACTGTAATAGATATCAATAATAATAAGCAAGTTCTTAAATGATTGTGAGGAAAGGAAACTCACTCTGCACCAGATTCTCATCCAGTAGGACAATTTCGCCTTGCTGGTTGCTGGGATCCACCAAACGGTTTCTCTCTGAGCCCTTAAGATCGAATTTGTTTTCAATTTCGCAGCCGTAGAACAGATTCTCCATGACCATCACCGAACGCTCCACGAAGGAACTAGAGTTTGGAAAGAGTTTAAGCTTAGTAATATAATTTGTTGTATCTTATCATTAAAACCCACTCCTTTTTCTTAACGCTGACTTTGAAAACGCCAAATATCTTGGCCAGCAATGTGGGCAGTTGCTGCTGCTGGCACCTGTCGATGTACTCGAAATACTTGGGAGCAAATGGTTCAAAGATGGTCATGTCTTTTGAGTTCATTTCCTTAAGCACAAAACGATCATCTGTTGAAAATAAAGGTTATTAGATATTGGAATACATATTTAGTTGATAAGAAAACCTACCAAGCGTCTTGCAGAAGCGGGAACCCGATTTACCGCCCCTCGCCTCCCATTGGACACTTTTGCAAAGGCTTCGCGCCAAAGCGATCCTGGCGTCCTCTTCCAGATTCGATTCCTCCTCGGTATTCCGAGGCCCTCCAACGTCGCTGGGCTTGCGCACCAACTCCATTTCGGAACCGGTGCGACTCTGTGAGATTCTCAGCTCCTCGCGCATCTTGCTCTTCTCCAGCCGGCGATAAAGCGATTTGTCCAGCTTCGGTGGCTTCAAGCTCTTAGATCGCATTGCATCAAACTCGCGGGCAAAGTAGATCTTGCACTGAAAGTGGCAGCTCTGGTCCTGGAATGCCAGGGTGATATGTGGACTCGGTGTCTGCTTTGTGCTTTGGCGCTCCTTGCTCTTCTCCTCGGTATCAGAAGCCGCGGCTGCTGGAGGAGGAACTGAGGCATTCGGAGCGGCACTCGTGTTGCTTGAAGTGCGCGAAAGACTGGGACTGTCCTCGGCATCGCTTATGCTCTCGGCCAGTGGAATCTTTCGCTTCAACTGCGGACTTGAATGGGCAGCAGAAGTTGAGGAATTCACCTTCGCCTCGTCCACTGCCTTCTGATATTCCGTCGAGGTCAAACTGTAGGCAATTACCGAACTCAGATCGGTTTCTCGAACGTGAATGGGAATGCAGCCCATGGGAAGCGTCAGATGATCCTGTGCGGGAAAAGGTGACTGCAGGGGATTCGTCTGATTCGCCGACGGCAGCAGCTGGGTGAGAATCTGCCTGATGGACTTCTTATCCGAGTAGACATTCACGGTGGAGGCCAGCAGCTGGTCAATGGAGAACTTCTTATCCACAACTGACTGGCTGTTGGAGGCATTAACTTCCGTATCCTCGCTGGGACACTCCAGCGATTCACTGTCTTTCGAGGAATCCGCAGACAGTTCCTCCGTGCAGATGGTTCCCGAGTCGATGTGATGTGCCTGCTTGGCGGTCAGCTTCTCGATCTCCTGCAGCCGCGGGCCCCACAGCTCGATGCTCTCGGCCAGAGCTCTCCTTGCCATGGCCATGGCATCACTGGTGTCGTAGGCAGTGGCCCTGTCATCCGTGAGCAGCGTGTGTACGATCTCGATCTTCTGCTTGAAGATAAACTGGTCGTGGGTGAGCATTGTCTTCAGTTGCTGCACCAGCGGCGAGTTCTCCTCCTCGGTGGCGAGGTCAGCGATGCGCTCGTGAATCCTGTTGTACACCTCATGCCCGCGCACCGAGAAGTTCTTGATCTCCTCCTGCGCTTGGGAGCTGGGAAACGGTGGCGGCAGATCCAGTTGCAAAGTCAGCGAAGGCAGATCCGTTTCCCAAACCTCAACGGGTGTATATTGGAACTTGGCGCCCACTCCGCGGAAACTGAAGTGGTGTACATAATCGCGATGCAAAGAGTGCTCGCAAGGAGAGCCACTCTGCTCGGCGTCGGCGGGAGGAGTGCGTCGCCTGTAGGCGTGGCCATGGAAACGCATCTCCAGGTATTTGGCCAGCGAAAGGCACTTGGCGGAATCGGCCAGCGGAATTGTAGGAGTGGTGGCATTGCAAATGCTGCACCAAGAAGTAAAGTATATGCGCTTCGGATCGGAACGGGTTAAATCCTCGGTCAGGTAAACATGGACGCATCCCAGCGAGTGAACGTAGCGACGCACATGACCCAGCATGGGCAAATTGCACGACGGGCACATCGAGTTGAAGAGACAGCAGTATCGCTGAAGGAACTGCTCCAGCATGATGTCATATTGCCCGTAAAACTTCATGTCCAGCAGCATGGGCATCTTGCAGAAGGAGGACACGCCCTTGGGATTGTAGTGGAAGCTGCAGAAGAGCACTGGGAGTCGCTGGTGGTTCTGCGGATCCAGTGCGTCCTTGTACAGCTGCTCCTCGCTCACCTTTTGCGGCCGCTGTATAACCTCTGCGTTCTTTTTCTTCGGCCGCAGCACTGTGAAATAAAGTGATAATGACAGGGATTTATAGATGGTTAGCATTTTGTGCTTACTGGGAGCCTTGCCCTTGGGTAAGCGACCGCCAAAGGATCGGAACTCGGCCAGCTTGGACTGAATGTCGCGACTGCTCGCCGGCGCCGTGATCTTCATCTGCACAAAGTCATGAGCCGGCAGCAGTTGCATCTGCTGGTTTTCCTTGTTTCCTGGCTCCGATCTCGCCTCGCCATCGCCCAAGCTATCTGGCCGCTCCAATCCCGTGCGCGACCACTGCTTGGAAAAGTACAGCTCGGCGGGAAAGAGCTTGCGCAGCTTGCACTTCCTGCCCTGCTCCGTTTCTAAGTAAGGCAGAGGAAAGGTGAGAAAGGGACTGACAGAGAGCAGAGTCGAACTAAGTGCTGTGCGGAATCTGTTATCATATCGCGGTTCCACAGCCAAGGCTTCTACTACTGGAGGAGCACAAGGCGATGTGGACAGCGCTTCGGCTTGAGACGAACGCAGGGGATCCGTGAAATCCGACACATTCTCGCTGACAATGGTGGTAATCTTATCCTCCGATTTGCGTTCCACAATAACAGGTCGCTTGGCTCGAAGTTCCGCCTCCGTTTCGGTTTTTGGACTCGTTTCCTTGGAGTCGAAAATCGAGGGTTTTGGACTCAGCGGCTGGGCGAATTCGTTCAACAAGAACGACATCTCCAAGCGCCAATTGTAGCGTGCAAAAAGCAGTGCCGATGCCACTCGCTTGACCCTCGTGAGTTCCGCATTGCTTCCTCCTCTCAAGAGACACGTGTATCCCCGCGGATTGGTCAGCTTCTCGAAGAACATCAGCGTCTTGCCATTGTAGTTGCGTATGTAGAAATCATTGCAGTCGCCCAGCTTGGGCATGGTTATATTCGACTCTATGGAACTGACAATGTCGCACTGCAGGGTGCGCGACAGACGCTCCATCACCGAAAGTTTTACATCCAAGACGAGTGTAACTCCATAGGATCTCAGAAGATCCTGGGCAATGCCCGCCACATTCTTGTGAACGAGAACTACATTGGGTGTGAAGCTCATGATGCGGGCACAGACATTGCGCAAGTACTCCTTCTCCTGGAGAAGAACTGTCTCAATCGTGACAAACTTGCCCTCGATTCGCTCGTAAACAATTGGGCACTGCAGCAGCAGGATGCGTGGAAAAGGCACATGCGTGGCCATATCCTTGTGAGCCACGTTCTTGGAGAAAGCCACACCGTGAACAATCTTTGAGTCCTTGCGTCTGCCACCTGGGACCTTCTTAAAGTTCACATAGTTGCGAATGTCCATCAAATCGTTGCAACAGTGCTCCGGCTTGAAGTGATTGGCTGCCGTGGAGCAGAGCATCTGAAGCACCTTGTCCCATTCCTGGTCCAAGCCATGGGCACGCAACATCTGCGCCAGCAGCTGCTCCTCGTGCTCACAGTAGGAGGCGAGCAGCTTCGAAGTGGCCGTGGTGAAGCAGCGATCGTTCTCCAGTTCGTTTTCCAGCTCCTTCTCCTTTTCCTCGGCTGACTGATCCATTGATTTGGGCGGTTGTGGTTCCGCATGCGGAGCTGCCTCAAACTGCGGACTCATCGTACGCGATGTATCCGCACTGCTGCTCTTGGAGAACTTGTAGTGCAGCGTGGGATCAAACTCCATCTGCTCGGGATCTGGAACGATGGGCTCGAGGAAACCAGCGGCCAGCATGGCATTCAAAATAGCCACCGCCTGCACCTCATTGGCCGACTTATTATTGCTGTTGAGAAACTCAATCAGACGCTGGCCACAATTCTGGGCAGGCAGGTCGCGCTGCATTTCCTCATGGAGGGTTATTAATGAGTTCGACTGCTGCAGGATGTTCTTGCGATCGTCAATGGAGAGCGTGGTGTAAGTTGGATGCGAACTGAACCGCTCCTCCTGGTAGCCCACGGACATCTTCCGCGACAGTGGTGCCCGCTGCTGCTGCGGATGCTTTGCATGCGGTGTGCCACTGTCTTGAACCTCTAGCTTGTTACTCAAGTGCTGCTGCAGCGCCTGCAGATCCTGACCCATCTCAGAGCTAGAGGACTTTAGGAAAGTCAGGACAATCTTGGAGCAGTAGTTGCACACCTTGAGGTCGCCATCGCAGCGGATTATCATGCCGGGCACCACCTGATTGCAGCACTTGGAGCAGAAGATCTGGCCGCACAAACGGCAGTGGTGCTTTCGCCGGAAGGTGGAGAACTTCTGGGAGCAGTCGTAGCACTCCTTGGCCTTCGAATCGGGCATCCAGAAGCGCTGCAGCTCCGTGTCCTTGTAGTTGCGCAGGTCCTGAAATATGTATAAATATTGTTTTTATTATTTCCAATCTAAAAATCTATTTAGAGTGCAAAATGAGTAAACATAGGTACATATTTAATAATTGGTTTTGCGGGTAGATTGAATCATTTCCTCCCCATTTTTTCGCCTAATGCTATAAAGCGATAATGGGAATTTAACTTTCACTTACATTGTTGTTTTTCGTAGCCACAATATTGCTGATGTGCTTGAGCACGTTGGAAACAGTGCGGCCCTGATTCGCTTCGCTGGTTGGCAGGGGCAGCGCCTCGATGCGCTCGCTGGCCTCGGAATCCTCGGCGGCTGTTGTGCTGGAGGTGCTGTGCGTTCTCAAGCTGAGCGTTGTGGGTGGCTGCGGGCGGCCCGAACTCAAGCTGGATGTCTCTGCATCGGCGACCTCAGCGATGGACGTCTGGGAATCACTAAAGAACTGGGATTTGCCCACTTGAACGGGTTGCGTTGGAGCGTTGCTACTGCTGCTCCCGCTGGATATATCATTCACTGTATTGTAGCTCTGGTTGTACACATTCTGGATCTTGTTCACCACCCGGCCGAAGAGCGACTCCGGCTTGTCCTCGAAGTTGCGGGCGAATTCGGTTAGTTTGGATGGGGAGTGCAGGTGCTGGTGGTTCTGGCTGTTCCCCTGGTTGTTGCTACTCATGTTGCCTAGGTGTTAGAAGTTGGGTGGCCTGTGGGTGAACCAACAGGCTGGTGGGCGAGACTGCTTCGCTCGCCCGCGGACTCGCGGTCCTTGGTTAGATAGAGGTGATGTTGAGCTGATCGATGAGGGCTGCGTCCGGTGCCAGCGAGCCCAGCGCCAGATCAGTCCACTTTTGCTCCTGCGAGAAGGGCAAACCATTGAAACAGGATAACTACTGGGGAAACATAGGAAATTCCTCACCTGCTCGCTGACCGTCAGGTGTGAATCACCGCCGTCCGCCTCCGGATCGGGTAGCTTCTCGCGGGGCACTAGAATCTGGTCGAAGGGCAGAACTTCCATGCGCCAAGCATTGTCTACAATGTCCAGCAGCAGATCATCGATCGGTGCCTGTGGCAGGACACAGAATATATGTATTATCTTGGCCGCAAAAAGGGGAAAACAAGACAACGCCCCCGCAGCGAAATTACGTCACTCTGCGGCAGTTGCCAAATACTGGAGACACGGTATTGCTCGCGTATTTAGATTTATCACAATGGGCGCCGTTGATAAGTACGACTAATTGCTGTGAAGCGATAATTTTGCCACAGTCACAGGCGACGTAGTAGTAGTTACTATCTTTAGGCAGCACATTCAACGAGCTGTAACTAGCGGACTGCCCACTCACCTGGCTGTCCATCACTTATGGAATAGTGTAATCTGAGATTGGCCAGCGCTCCAACTGCTTGCCAATTGTTTGTTTAGCCTCTTTTCGAGTGTTTTTGTAAACAATTGGCAAGGAATCGTATTGTGTTTTGTTAAACAAAACAGCTGTTTGGAGATGGGAGTTCTGCTGCCGAGCCAGACGATAGTATCGATTGACGTGCTTTGATTGTCGGCGCTGCCTATCGATGGACTATCGATTTTGGCGCCTTTTGAATTTGTTTGTTCTATTTGTTTTGTTGAACAAATAAACAGCTGAAAAGTCAACGAAATATCAAAACAACCAATTTATATTTACAGATTCTGTATTTATTAGCAATTAGCATAGTGGTTATAAATTTTACAAATTTTGGTCATTTATTTTATAGATTTTGTGGTATAAAAGAAGTAATACGCTCGAGCTTACACCGAATTTCAGTTATCTTTTGTCTCCTTAGGCCCGTTTTCTCATCCGTTTGTTAAATTGAAATTACGGTTAAAACCTTGGTTATTTCTTGAAAGACTGCGGTTTTTAACACTTCGGCGGTGTTGTTTTTTTAATTCAATTTTTCTATATCTACGAGTCGAGTTTCTTTTTGATCCACATCTGTAATAATCTAAGACTGTCATGAGCTAAAGATTTCAAATATTATATCTTATACATACCTGTACAAACCTTGTGTTTTCAATCATTTTTAGATATTCATGATTATGATCATATATTACATTCTTATACGATCCAAAATGGATTTAAATTATGCCTATATTTTCGATCTTGATGACTGTTCCATTGAACAACTGACTAGATGCAGCATAGCGTTCCAAAAGTTCGCTTTTCAACGTCAGCTATGCCGACATCTTGCCAATTTACCAACAGATGCGGGGCTATACGATCGATTTGACAAATATACATAGATCCAAAAAAACAAAGCTCTCACACAAATCACCGAAATATTCTCACTGGGATCACAAATGGTCTTCTATTACTCGCTTGTTGTCAATGGCTTTTATCAATGAAACGCTTGTTGTTTTGAAAAGCACTTAACAAGTTTTTTGTGCTTTTGTATGTTGGTGGACTTGACTTGGACTGCTGGTTTTCTGGCCCGCTGAATGGGACTGGAATTGGAAGTGTAATCCGTCAGCGGTGGAGACTAATTGGCAACTGATTCCGAAGCCGAGCGGCGAGCTCAGCACCACACCTCGGCAATTGAAGAAGTTTCAATTAGTTGGCATTTGACACTCACACATGGAGAAGAAACGGGGATTGGACGGCGGTCCGTTGCCAGCTCACGCACACCGTCGCAGAGTGGGGGTGATACCTGTACGCGGCGACAGGTAGGCAATGGGAAAAAGGGAGGGGAAGGGGTACTGCCTGGCACACCGCTTAAGCCGCTTTTTAGCGCAATGCCGTCTGCCCGGAATATTAATGAACTCCCTTTTGAGAAAAATATGAAATGAAATAAAATTTTGTTGCCAACAATAGCCGTGTCCACGTCCGAGTCGTTGTCGTTGTCATTGTAGTTTCGGAATTGGAATTTGTCGAGGGGCCCAAAAATGCATTGGCCATGGCCAAAACGACAAACACGGCGCATGCGCAGCGATTGCTACTTCCGCTCGAAGAGATATAGAAGATATTGAAGGAGTAAATACATAGATCTTCCCGGGACGATTACCTCGAAGCGGTTAAAGAACGTTGGGTCGCTCTCGGCGCTTCTGTGAACCATCTATAGGCATTACATTACAGATATTTATGCGCGATTATACAAAACAGTCACGTGCCGGTCTTTTCTATATACATATCAGCACAAATACTGGTCTCGGGACTTACACCTATATGCCCGGACTGCTATTTATATGTGGGGATATATATTCATATAGAAAGGCGGTGAGCGTTACTCACGACCAGTGTCTGGAGCTCCAGGCAAAAGATTATTGGTATCCGATCCTTTCCTTCTGTCAGCTTTGGAAACTCATAATTTGAATATTGTTATTATTATTCATATGCACACGAATCACGTCCAAATGGCCATAAAGTCGGCAAAGCATGCACGTTTTAAGAAAGCCCATTGACCACGATGGTCGAAACTGAAATTCCGAAACCCCCAAGACATAACCACATTCCGACTGGGGATATAGAAATTCATATGGATCTGAGGACACCGACCAAGTCGCTCCCACAATTTCTCCCACTTCCGTCTTGGGCCCATCCGCATCGATAAAATTAAATTTAATTAAATATTAGTATGCACAATCGAAGCACTAACGGATGATGACCAATAGTTTCGTAACCAGGCAGTTTGAAGGCCCCTTATCTGTCGCCTGCCTGTTCGCTTTCTAAATAACTATCCATAGAACCGAAGAAATTAATTTTAATAAGCCATTTGGTATTTCAGGCACACATTCGGATTTCTACGGAAAATGCTTTGACGATGATCGGTTTCGAAGGTGAAAAGGAAGTTGTTTTTCTACAGGAGGAAACACTAAGAAAGTACAACGGGACATGGGAGTTTTTAGTTAGTTCAAGGTAAGGTTTAATAAAAAAAGTTGTAGTACTTTAAAATCATGTTCTTCTGAAGGTAGATTTTTAGATAATTGATAAAAATCCTTTTAAAAAATAATTTCATGAGACTTTAGTTTGGTAACCAATATTGAATATACTGGTTTTAGTTGAAGTTTCGCTTTGAATTTGATCGATTTTTAACAACTAAACAATAAATACTGTTAGTCATAAAACTTTTACATTTTGAATAGCAGCATCAAGCATAGCAGCATAAAATTAGGATACATGGAATTTATTAATTGTTCATCAAAGAATCATAAAACTTGCATATCTTTTTTAGTTTCAAAGTAGGGGAAATTCGTTAAATACAAGCGAAATAAATTCAAATTTGATACCCTAATCGATAGCATTCGCGGCTCTCCCCCGACATCGATAAAGAAATAGCGATGAATCGCGTTCGCTTCTGCCCATCTCCATTTTGCCGGAGATCGTTTTGTTATTGCCAATTGCCAATTTAAATTGCGCCGGAATGAGCTTTCATCCGCCTTCCCAGGGAAAACCACACCCAATGGTGAGTGGAGGATTGTCCCTATAAAACATATATAACCAACTAACCACTTTCCAGGCGGACTATCAATCTATAAGGATCTCGGAGTTGGAGCAGCTCTTCGAAAAGAAGTTCCACTACCAGAAGCCGCGGGGCAAAGAGTCCTGGCAGCTGCCTCCACAGGATCAGCCACTCTTCAGTGAGTTCTACCAATTCGAGGCGCTGCAGACACTCCGGGAGCAACTGAATGCGGTCAAGAGCAAGCTGAATGACTATGGAGTACAGGAATGGAGTGCCCATACCAACCGGCGGGATCCTTCGGGCGAAGTCTCCTGGCGCCTAAAGAACGACACCAAAGCGGAGTTTGTAACTGTGGCCTGGTGCAAGTTCTTCGAGTGCCTGCATCGTTATCCATTGGTTAAGAAACCAGTGGTCAACACCGTACATCTTTGCGAGGCTCCTGGCGCCTTCATTGCATCTTTAAACCACTATTTGCACAGCACATACCCAAAAGAGGAGGTGAGTATATAAACAGTCCTCTAACATATCAATAACTAAACTATTTTTACAGATTAAATGGCTCTGGCGCTCGACCACCTTGAATCCTTACTACGAAGGCAATGCCTTAAACCAAATGATCTCCGATGACAGGTTCATCTTCCACACGCTGGACAACTGGCTCTTCCACAAAGATCTCACCGGCAATCTACTGGATGTGGCCAATATTAAACACCTGGCGGAGCGTTGTGCTGAAGATTTGCAGGGCCAAGTGGATCTGGTCACTGCCGATGGCTCCATCGATTGTGCAGCTCAACCCGATTGCCAGGAGGAAATAGTAGTTCGTCTGTTCTTCGCCGAAGTACTCAGCGCCTTGAAAGTTCTCTCAAGCGGCGGCAGCTTCCTCGTGAAGATGTTCACCCTCTTCGAGGCCTGCAGTGTTTCACTGCTCTTCACGCTCAACTGCATCTTCGAGCAGGTGCACATCTTTAAGCCGGCCACATCGAAGAGGGGAAACTCGGAGGTTTATGTAATCTGTCTGAATTACCAGAAGGACACGCCCGGCCTTCCGCGTTTGCTGGAGGAGATCAAAGCCAAGCTAGCCCAGCCGAATGACACCATGGTGATGCCTCTGTTTGCCCGGTCCCAGATTCCCCAGGACTTTCTCATGCAGCACGAGATCGTCTGTCGTCTGTACATGAAGCTCCAAACGGATGCCATCGAGGGAAGCATCTATGCTTATGAGTCCAACGATCGGCATTATCTGCGGCACCTTCACCACTTGCGAGGACTCGTTTCCAACACGTATTATAGTCGCTATAAAGTGAAACCCCTGGAGGACAGTCTGTGCATCGTGGACAAGGAGGCAACTAGCAAGGCGCTCGGCTTCTCGGTCCCCGTCTACGGGGGATCATACACAGAAAGGGAGAACTTGAAACACGGTGACCTCCTCAAGCAGATTTACTGCTTGCGTCGCGAATTTAACCAACTGGAGAAGTGCCCCAGTGGCAAAACTACATACTCATATGTGAGGGATAGAGTGACTCCCTTGAATATTCACGTTTTAAGAGGATCTCCTGTCCAGAGCCTGCAGAGCAGTCTGTTTGCCTCTGAGCCCGTACTCCTCCTGCGCCTTCGCATCCTGGACACATTTGATCTCGATCCGGTTTGGCAATCCGCTCCCAAGTGCCAGTTGGAAAGCAAGACTTTAAATTATTTGCCACCCACTGAAAATCAAAGCTTCCACTCCGCTCAGCGATGCTTTTTCATAGATCTCCTCGAGGCAGTTCGAGAACTGCAGCCCCAGAGCATTGTCTTCCACAAGTTCCTGTTCCTCACCCACTATGCCGCCTCACTGCTGCTCTTTCTCATGGAAACCATTTACCAGGACTGCAGTTTCGATAGCCATCAATCGCAAACCCTTACGTTGAGTAAACTTAAAGCCACGGATACAAAAGACTTGGAAGAAGTGCTAAATCTCCTTAAGGATGAGCAGGCGGGTGCCATTCACAGCCTGCTGGAGATTAAGGAGCTGCAGAAGAACCAATTCAGCAACGCCCTCATCCAGCACAACAACAATGTGCTGCTGACCTGTTTCCGCGGCATGCTGGGCGAGGAATCCTTTCCCATGCCCCTGAAACCAGCTTCCAACTCGGAGGAGGTCTCTGCGATCCAAGAGCCAGCTGCTGTGTTTTAACATAACGAACATGTATTTCTCACTTGCATAAAATTACAGTGCTACTTTTACAAAACTAGGTACTCTGCCGGGGGGAAAACCGCTTACATGTTTCTCTTTGTTTTAAAGGATAGATTTTGAGGGTTCGAAAATGGAAATTAAATAACTAACTGAAAAATCACAAGACTAATGGGGGGGATAACATGGATTCTCCGCTCCGCTAGTCCGCCGGACGCTTTTCGCTGTGCTTCTTGGTGTAATCCTCGGCGTTCTTCACGAACTTCTTGCGATCCTTCTGGAACTCCTCGGCCAGCTCCGCGCGCAGCGGATGATCGGGTTCCGGCTCGTTGATCAGGTCCACCAAAGCCTGGACAACCTGGTCGGTGCGCGTGGCCGGCTTCCAGTTCTCCGTGCTGATGATGGGCAGGCACACCTGGCCCTTCTCGTCGATATTCGGATGATAGATCCGCGTCTTGAAGTTAATCTTGGGCGGCTTGAAGGGATACTCCGCCGGGAAGTTGATCTCGATGCGGAAGGCGCCCTTGTTGTACGGCGGATTATCGGGCACAATCAATCCCGTCCAGCGCAGCAGGTTGTCATCGTCCGCCTTGATGTCCCGGAAGGCCTTCAGTGTGTTGTCCTGCAAATCGCTTAATTCTTTTCGCAGGCGTCGCGGCGCAGTCATCGTGACGTCTGTGTGAGTGTGGGTTTTCTTTATGCTTCGATGTGTGTGTGTGGTGTGTGTGGCAGGGGGAGGGGGCGCTGCACTTTTGTTTGCCCTTGTGAGAGCTGCAAATCGATGGTGTCGCCAAACGGATGAGTAATGCGCCGGCCTTTTGTTCTTGCTGGCTTCCCAGTGCTCCAGTTGCCGTGTGTCACCTTTAATTTCCGCACTGGCCCCACAAAATCCGCACGTAAGTCTGCGAATTCCACTGAAAAATGGTTCGTACAAGAATCCCCCAATTGGCGTTAGGGTGTTTTTTCGGGCCTGCTCACACTGGCGCCTGCACAGGGATTACACTAGTCAACAGTGTACTTTTTATCCGTAACCGCTTTTGAATATTCAGACGTAAATTATTATTAATTAAATGACTGAGGAAACCAAAGAAATATATATCATATTTAAATGAAATATTGTTTAATAAAGGTAATATTTGAAACAACATTTTCTCGGCCTATTCCAAGAAAACGCTAGTTTGAATTAAACAAAATTTGAAGGACTTAATGAACATACAGTGTGTTCTAAATCTACAAAAGTTTGGGGAACCCCGCAAATATGTAGATAAGTTCTAAGATTTTAAAAAGTAACGGCTACCTCTATTTCTAGCAATTTTTGCAATCGATAACCAGCCGCAGTGGCGGCAAGCCAATCGATAAGCCACCGTTTCATTCGACTCCCATCGCTATCGCTGACTGCAACACGTGCGCCGCGTTAGTTTTGTTTTTCCCTCGAAAATGACCAAAAAACTAGGACTTAAACGCAAGGGAAAGGATTCAGAGCCCACAAATGAGGTGGCTGCCAGTTCCGAGGCCTCCGAAAACGAGGAGGAGGAGGTAAGACCGCCTGACAAGTGAAAAGAAAGTCAGTCCCAAATCACCTGCATGTGTTTTTGGTTTTCCAGGACTTGTTGCAGGCCGTAAAGGATCCCGGAGAGGACTCCACAGATGACGAGGGCATAGACCAGGAGTACCACTCCGATTCCAGCGAGGAGCTGGAGTTTGAGAGCGACGAGGAGGGCAACTACCTGGGCAGAAAGCAATCCTCATCGGCAGAGGAAGATGAGGAGGAGGAAGAAGATGACTCTGAGGAGGAGGCGGATGAAGATGACTCCGAGGATGAGGAAGAATCTGCCAGCACATCCAAGCCAAACAAATCCGACGACCAGCCCAGCAGCAGCGGTGCCGCCGCCAAGAAAGAAGCCACAAAGGAGCTGGCCAAAAGGGACTCTTCCAAGCCGGAGTACCAGGATTCAGACACCTCCGACGAGGAGGACATACGCAACACTGTGGGCAACATACCTATGCACTGGTATGACGAGTACAAGCACATCGGCTACGATTGGGATGCCAAGAAGATCATTAAACCACCGCAGGGCGATCAAATCGATGAGTTCCTGCGCAAGATCGAGGACCCGGACTTCTGGCGCACCGTCAAGGATCCGCTGACCGGTCAGGATGTGCGCCTAACCGACGAGGACATTGCCCTGATCAAGCGCATCGTTTCGGGTCGCATCCCCAACAAGGATCACGAGGAGTACGAGCCCTGGATCGAGTGGTTCACCTCGGAGGTGGAGAAGATGCCCATCAAGAACGTGCCCGACCACAAGCGCTCCTTCCTGCCCTCCGTGTCCGAGAAGAAGCGCGTCTCGCGCATGGTGCACGCTTTGAAGATGGGCTGGATGAAGACCACCGAGGAGGTGCAGCGCGAGAAGCAAGCGAAGCGCGGCCCCAAGTTCTACATGCTGTGGGAGACGGACACGGGTCGCGAGCACATGCGCCGCATCCACGATCCCGTCTCGGCGCCCAAACGCGACCTGCCCGGCCATGCCGAGTCCTACAATCCACCGCCGGAGTACCTTTTCGATGCCAAGGAGACCAAGGAGTGGCTGAAGCTCAAGGACGAGCCGCACAAGCGCAAGCTGCACTTCATGCCGCAGAAGTTCAAGTCGCTGCGCGAGGTGCCCGCCTACTCGAGATACCTTCGCGAACGCTTCCTGCGCTGCCTGGATCTTTACCTGTGCCCCCGCGCCAAGCGCGTCAAGCTGAACATCGACGCCGAGTACCTCATCCCCAAGCTGCCCTCGCCGCGTGACCTGCAGCCCTTCCCCACGGTCGAAAGTATGGTCTACCGCGGCCACACCGATCTGGTGCGATCGGTTAGCGTTGAGCCCAAGGGAGAGTACCTCGTCTCTGGATCTGATGATAAAACTGTCAAGAGTGAGTATATTATTATAGTTATATTAGGCCTCGGATTTTGCCTATTTGTCCATTTTTGGTCCGATTTTTACCAAAATTTCTAGGTAGGTGTCACATTTTTCAAATGTAATAAATTCGGATGCATATCGGAAATATGCAAAACATATGCATAAAATATCATATCATATCATCAAATTTTTAATGCAGCCCTCAGGTATTCTAAACGAGCAGCTTAGCCTATAGGGCCAAAAACTATTCTGCCCCTTTTACTATTTTTGCCCCCTTCTCGCCTACTCGTTGGAATTATAAATAAGGTTTCCTTGAATTTGCGAAAAAATTAGATATCTCAGAAATCGCGAAAAGGAACAAACAATTTTCTTCGTGTAAATTAATTTGGCTATGAAATGGTCAATCTTGAATAGTTGAGTTTTGTTTATATATTTTGCATATTTTATTCATATGCATTTTATGCAAATATGCGAAAAAAAAAAAATATGCCATTAATTTTAAACTATATTTTTATTGAAACGAACTTTGGTGTTTTCGGAATTGATCTATCTTTATCCTATAAAAATATGCAAAATCCGAGGTCTAGTTATATTGTTTTAATCTTCTAACACCTAACTTTTTTCCTTCGCAGTTTGGGAAATTGCCACGGGCCGTTGCATCCGCACCATTGAGACCGACGAAGTGGTGCGCTGTGTGGCCTGGTGTCCCAATCCCAAGCTCTCCATCATTGCGGTGGCCACCGGCAATCGCCTGCTGCTCGTCAATCCCAAAGTGGGCGACAAGGTGCTGATAAAGAAGACCGACGATCTGCTGGCCGAGGCGCCCAGTCAGGATGTTCTCGAAAGTGAACGCATCAAGACGGCGGTGCAGTGGTCCAATGCCGAGGCAGACGAGCAGGAGAAGGGCGTCCGGGTGGTGATTACCCACTTTAAGCCCATTCGCCAGGTAACATGGCACGGACGTGGTGACTATTTGGCCACTGTGATGCCCGAGGGTGCCAACCGCTCGGCGTTGATACACCAGCTGTCCAAGCGGCGCTCACAGATTCCATTCTCCAAGAGCAAGGGTCTCATTCAATTCGTGCTCTTCCATCCGGTGAAGCCCTGCTTCTTTGTGGCGGTAAGTTGAACTAAAAAATCCTTTTCTAGATTTATTTTTCTAATTTTAACTTGCTATTACAGACGCAACACAACATTCGCATCTATGATTTGGTTAAACAAGAGCTGGTCAAGAAGCTGCTGACCAACTCCAAGTGGATTTCGGGCATGTCCATTCATCCCAAGGGCGACAATCTGCTGGTGTCCACCTATGACAAAAAGATGCTCTGGTTTGATCTGGATCTGTCCACTAAGCCTTACCAGACCATGCGACTCCATCGCAATGCTGTTCGCAGCGTGGCCTTCCATCTCCGCTACCCGCTCTTTGCTTCTGGCAGCGATGACCAGGCTGTGATCGTCTCCCACGGCATGGTGTATAAGTAAGTGGCTATAAAATCCTTTTTGACTTTCATTCTTACCAATTTCTGTATCCTATTTCAGTGACCTGCTGCAGAACCCCTTGATTGTTCCCCTTAAGAAGCTGCAGACCCACGAGAAACGTGACGAGTTTGGCGTTCTGGATGTCAACTGGCATCCGGTGCAGCCATGGGTCTTCTCCACGGGCGCCGACTGTACCATCCGACTATACACGTAAACTAGGACCATAAACCCTAAGGTAGTTTTGTTGGGTCCCGACAGTTTTGTGAAATTTCTATAGTAAATAAAAACATACATTAATTTTTATTGATAGGACACCTTTTCATTGAGCTTGGTTTTGAAACAAGTTTTACAATCATAAAGAAGCAACCTGATTATTCAGATAGCTGAAATTGAATAAATTCATAAATTGTTTCTCCTAGTGGAACTATTTATATTTAAATTGCAATATAATTTACAGTTTTTCTCGTACCAATACCTTTAATTTAATTTAGCACCCTTTATGATCTGAAAGTTAGGACATTTACAGACATTTAAAAAACTCACTAGATAACGAATTTCGCTCAGTATAAATAACGGTAATCTTCCATTTTGTTTACGTACCGGGTTCCGAAACAAACGGGATCCCGAAATCAAAGTGAAAATGCAACCCTGCTGAAAGTTTCGAAGTTCTAGCCCCAAAGCTTTATGGGGGGAATTCCAGTGGAGCAAAGAAGAGTCCCGAGCTTTTTTCTCTTCTTCCGACTCGCGCACATGTCTTTCCGTTTTTCACTAGCTCACTCTCTGTCCCTCTCTCCTGTGTGTACCAGGAATTCTAACTGTATAGCTATGCCGCCGAGCTTTTGCGCTCAGTCCACCTTTGGAGCCCCCCGCTGCTCCCCCTCCCCCTCGCCACATTCCACCCGCCATCGCCATTATCTCGGGGGGTTCTCGGGGACTCTCGGGGGCCTCTCGGATGAGGAGCGCGCGCATTGGAAAATCAAGAGCTGGCGAAACGGCACTGCTTGGAAATCAGTCGCCTGCCTTTGCCCAAGCGGAGAGAATCTCGAGTCGCTCGAATCGACCTGTCGAGGATTTTGGCTTCTGGTTCTGGTTCTGTTCTGGGTGCTGAGCAGCCAAAATCGCAGAGCGCAGAAATCGAATGGGAAAAAGCGCCGCCATAGCGGGGGCCCCGAGAACGAAGGAATATAATAAAATATGGCCGAGGGCGAGATGTGATGTGAAAATGTGAAAATGCCAGTCCAGGCCATCGAGTGACCACGAAAATTGCAATTTTCTCCTTACAATTCGTATCCACCAAAAAAAAACCAAGAAAAAAACGAAAGAAAAAAATCAAAGCACAAGCAAAACAATTTCGGGGCGAAAGAAAAAAATATATACAAATATACACATTTCGATTCCAATTCTAGTGGCAAAAATTCGTATGTACTCGTCGTCGTTGCTCCTCAAAAACATACATACATACATACAAACGCGTCCCCCTTTTCCCGCCCACCCAATTGCCACCCAAATCCTCAAAAGAAAATACGTGTGTGTGTTTGAGTGAAAATATGAACGGAAGCGTTGGTGAGACAATAAAACCGAGAAATACAACAAAATAATAAAATAATATACTAGATAGCTAGATTAAGGCAATGGTCAACAAAGGAACAAAAGCAGCTGATTTGTGATTTGTGATAAGTGCAACGCAGTCGCTTCGTGTTACAAGTGCAATTAGCTGCTACATGTTGCAGCTGTTGCAGCAACATCAGCACGAGTGGAGAAAATCACGCATACGCCCCATCCGCCCAACGAGCAAAACAATGCGCTCCACTTAGCCAAGTTGCGTGTGGTACAGTGGTACTCCAACGCACATCCGCATATATGCCAGTGTAATGACTAGCCCACGAAATAAATAAAGGCCAGAACAACAACTGCGACGGGGGCAGCTCCAGCTGCTCATAAATTTCGTAACGCTTGTGAAATGTGCCCCTTGGTGCACGGGGCAATTCAATGGAATCGCTAGATTTTCGCCCGTAAATCCAGGGCGGAATATGTAAATGCCGTAGGCGCCACCACTTCCTCGCTAAAAAGGCTAGCAGCACCACCTTCAACCACTATAAGGATAACTACCTATACCCACTACTCGAAAGGTTATCTGAAAAATCTAAAAGAATTTCTGGAATTTTTGGGCTTGTAAAATCGCCCAAGAAAAAGCTGAGAAAAAACATAAAATTAAATCAAATAAAACAAAACGAAAACTAAAATTAAGAGCAAAGAGAGAGAGAGAGCGCCAGAGAGAGTGGGAACTTTCGATAAAAAATTATTAGCAAAAACATAAATACGTAACGGCCTCGTTCTCCCGTGCCCTCCGCCCCCAAAGGAAATCCCAGAGAAAGAGAAGCCGAATCGAAGAAAAGAGCACCGGAGCGAGCGGGTGAGTGGGTAGGTCAGTGGCAGTGGGCGGTCCGCCAGCTGGGGCAGCACCACCATCCCATCACCACCCAACACCCAGAACCACCTTCACTTCCATCTCCATCAGCACCGCCAGCGTCAACCTCAACTTTCAAAGGGCAGGTAAGTGCACACGGAAAACATGGGCAGCAGCAGAATCAAATAGATCAGCAGTTTGACATTTAGGCTTACTCCCCCGGACATTTCTTTTTTCGGCCTTTATTGCTTTTTAATAATTTTGGAACGTGTGCTAGAATGTTAAAATTTCTAAATGATTTTTAGGCGTATTTCCTAAGATTTTTCCTATTTTCGAATTTAATAGATTTTGTATAATTTAGAGAGGACTACTTACATATTGACAGTTCTTAATTATAAACCAAAACCTCTAGGAAAAGCATAGAATTCTTTTTTAGTTTTTCGAAAAAGTTGTTCATATTATAGTTTCTAAATAAGCTTTTATTGAAACAGAATGTCAAATTCAAATGAATTTATTACTTAGACTATATTTTGAAACCGGATTAGTTTTTTTATTTTAAATGATTTAAACGAACAGATAAGAAATTCCCTAAACTGATGGATGTGCTAACGTTGTTGACGTATTAAAAGTAATGGAATTAACCTGTTTGAAAAAATGAAGGAGACTAATTACAGTTTAATTTACTTAATTACGGGTAATTATTGTTAAAATTGACCAAGAATTTAAAGTAAACTCATTTTAGCATTCCAAATTAAGTGGTCACCGTTTTCTAGTATCAATATATAGTAATGTTCTTATTTCAACTTTCGAGGAATATTGCCGAATTCTATTTGACATGGAATTTACTTTTGGATTGTTATTGTAATAAGAATTTTAACATAATATTTAACTTTCGAAGAAACATGTTACAATATTTTTTAATACTTGATGGTAGTGTAAGCTTAGAAATTGCGATATTTATTTGAATCAGATCCCAGAACAGCATTTCGTTCATGTCAATCTAATCGACAAAACATTTACTAAAACAAGACAATTATCAACTAAAAATGACGCTAGTTTGATAGATAAGAAACCTTCGGGCATGACAAACTCCAAACGGGTGACGAATACTCGCAATATTTTTCTCTGAGTGGTACCCAAACCCCAACAACCCCACAAGCCTGGTTTATTAACGCTTCAATTTGTTCCTTTATTGCAGGTAGCGGCATGTCCTGCACCGTTTCGGAGCTGCCCAGTGGCTGTCGATTGCGCGGCATGACTGCATCCTCACAGCAGAGCGCCGCCAACAATAGTGGCAACAATGGGAATGGGAACGGCAATGGCAACGGGGGAGGGAGCGGCGGGGGCGTCGGCGGCGGTGGTGGCAGCAGCTTGGGCGGAGTATCGCCCACCGTGGGCGGCGGCAGCGTGGGAGTCGGCTCCACGTCCAACGTGCTGCAGGAGTCCAATGCGGCCACGTTGCAGCGACCGCAGTCGCAGAAGCCGTGCTGCTTCTGCTGGTGCTGCTGCTGCTCCTGCTCCTGGTGAGTATTCAGTTCTGGTGGCCTATATGCTCACCGTTCAAATCCTCTGACACGAAATCAATTTCTTTCTCGTTACCGCGCTGCCTTGACTCAACGTTTGGCCACAACAACAACTACCAATGGCAATACCAATACCAATACCAATACCAATACCTATACCTATACCAACCACAACCGTGACAACAGGGCCAAATGGTAAGTACCCTCCTTAAGTAGTCATACTTTTGAACACTGGAAGAAATACTGGTACTGCTTGGGCTTAAAATTATAAATCCTAACTAATTCCACACCATTTCTGGTATAATTTGTACTTATTATTTTCATAACAAATAATACCTGTACTATTCGTTTTTTATAACAATGGGTAACAGTTTATAATAACTAGTTACTAGTTCATAATAATATTTAGAGGATCTTAGGTAAAATAACGGTGCAGTTATACAACCTATCTTGTTTAGATATACTTCTTATTTAGGAAACAGTCTTTAAAAAAATTCAACAAATTCCAGATTAGTAATATATCATCATAATTAGTTATTAGTTCATAATAATATTTAGTGGATCTTAGGTAAAGTAAAAGTGGAGTTTTACAACCTATCTCTTCTAAATATACTTTTTATTTAGGAACCAGGGTTTAAAAAAAATTCAACCAGTTCAGTTCATCAATTCAGTAATATATCATACCCTCCTCAGTAACTAGTCTTTTAAGTACCAATTTATTTTTTGAACATTACTTCCCAACCGTGTACCTAGTTTCTCGCAGTGCAGTCATGGATATGGCCACGGTTACAGCTATGGTTATTGCTTTGGCTTTAACTATTGCTTTGGCTTTGGCTATGGCCACCGACATGGTCGTGGGCTGGGATTGGGATTGGGACTGGTAAAAGGACTGGGAAGTTCAAATGAAAGTGGACACGGACAAGGTGGCCTTTCTCCTGGCAGCTGGCAACGCTGCTGCTTTCGAAAGCTCTCTCTCTATCTCTCTCTCGCGGACTTTCTCCGCTTTCTCTCTTTCGAAACACTCTTTAACGGGTGGCTCTTGCTCTAAACTTTCTCCCTCGTTCATTCACAATTCCGGGAGCAAGTCGTCGGGCAGCGAAAAGCTCTCTGGAGGGCACTTTTCAAATCAAATATAAATAAGTATGTGGCGGCTCCTCCGCGGACTCCTCCAAGTGTTGCATGTTTTCGTGAATGAAATCGAAAGTCTTTTTCGACCCACCGCCAACTGGCAACCCCCTCCGCACCTTTGTGTGCCCAAGAGGGCACAGAACCCCAAAAAACCCAGCACACAGCACCCGAAATCCCCCCAAAAAAACCCCGAGCCCCCACCGCTCCTGGCCACATATAATTTGATTCATATATAGACGAGGATATATGTACGGTTGTGTGACTTTGATAAGGTATTGGGCCAGCGAGTCGCTCTGATAACTGGCGACCAGATAAGGGAGCTTTGTCAAGTTCGAGTACTCCGGTGCTCTGTCTCCGGGCTCCGAAACCCAAAACCGATATGACATTAGCCTATCTACAGTGGTCACTCGGGAATCTTTATATCACCTTCATTTATATGGTCTTCAATATTTTTTATCTTTCAAGTTTGCTTTACATAGAACCACAATTTCTAAAATGTTGAATTCCTTTTTCTTTATTAATTAAAATTTTTGTCGATTGCTTAATTAACTCTTCTTAATTTACAAAGTTACGAAAACAACATAATACTTCCTCCATTAATAGGCACTGAATTTATGTATACATTTATGTTATGATCCGAATCTCGGAATCCGAAAGTTTTTTTTTACTCTGTAACATCCGTCCTACACCTAAAAGCTCTAGTAATCGAGCGACCACTGTATTTACATATTTATGCTATTTTGTGCCAGTTAAAAATGAGTCAGGCCGAGCGGCAATTCAGCAATGAATAAAATTGTAGTATACTTTAAAGGGTGATTGATGAGTTGTAAAATCAAAATAATCGTCATTTAACAAGCGCCCCTCTGTCTTTTTGCTTATCTTTTTAGTCTGGCCATCAAGAATGCCGATGAAAATGCCCCCACGAAGCGAGATCTGGTGAATGCCGAATTTCTGGATGGCGAACAGTGAGTTTATGCAAATGAAAAAGTGAGAAAAGCGGAAAAAACTTACATTAATTGTGCATTACAGACCCACACTGGAAGAAATCCGCAGCTGGGGCAAGAGCTTTGACAAGCTGATGAAGAGCACAGGTGAGCCATTGAAAAATGATTTCCAGATCTATAGTAATTTCTTGATAAATGTGTGTACTTCCAGCTGGTCGAAAGGTGTTCCAGAACTTCCTGCGCAGCGAATTCAGCGAGGAGAACATCCTGTTCTGGCTGGCCTGCGAGGACCTCAAGAAGGAGAGCAGCGCGGAGCTGGTGGAGGAAAAGGCGCGACTCCTCTACGAGGACTACATCTCGATCCTGTCGCCCAGGGAGGTGTCGCTGGACTCGCGGGTCCGCGAGATCGTCAACCGGAACATGATCGAGCCCACGACGCACACCTTCGACGAAGCTCAAATCCAGATCTACACACTGATGCACAGAGACTCATATCCGAGGTGAGTACGGTTGAGGAAACTTACAAGATAGTATTGGTCTGATCTATGATCTATCACCTATGTAGACATCTTTAAAAAATTTGAAATATTTAAATTACTTTATATTTATGGAACAATAACTAAATACATTATTTTTCCGCATTTATTTATAGATTCCTAAACTCGCAAAAGTTCAAGACACTCGCTCAACTGCAAGACAACTCGAATGCCGGCTCCAAGGCGGATAGTCCCACTTAGAGAGGATCGCTCAGGAATCCCAAATCGGATCGGATTTGGATCGTATTCAGTTGCGCTGTGCTGACTTCCGTTGTTGCTCTCTCCATTGGTATTTCTCTGGTACTTTACGCCCCCGTCGCTGCTGCAATTGACTAAGCAATATGTATCCATTAGTAGAAACCATTTAAACGTTTTGCCTGCAGCCCCAAACATTCGAATCCCTGGAAGGGCGGGGGCACCCAGACGATATGCATTCTACGTGAAACGGATCCCTTCTCTCTCTCTACCTATACGTTCTAGTCGTTAACTAACCAAAGAGTTAAGCACTACAAAAATTGTTTATACTAAGGAGCTGGTTCGACCACAGAAAGCATTTTCCAAACCAAACAAAAATAGCCAGAAAGCTAATACGAAACGAGCGACACAAATAGCATCTATTGTAATACTAGTGATCTAAGAGACGTATTAATCAAATGGCAACAAAGATTACGGAACCCGCTAACCGATAAGTAAATTTAAACGTAATCATAAACCGCTACGTAACAGAAATACTTTTTCCAAAAAATAACAAAAAAAAGAAACAAAACAAAAATCTTTTTAAACGTATTACATGCATAACTTTATAAAATTATATATACACACCAGCATATATATATATACTGATATATATATACGGATATATAGAGACATTTAACTTGACTAGTTTTGAAATCGTTTTAGGTCATACGAGTAATGACATCGAAGCATTTTGTAAATACAACAGCAGACGGCAACACTTTCTACTTTCTTATGAAAACCCATTTAGGATCAAGTCCTTTCCTAAGCAAATCTTACCAAGCCCATCATGAGCTGTACTTTGAGCCAGACCAGAACAGACCATATGCATAATTAACGTGTACTATATTATTTCGATGTCGAGCTGATTTCCAAGTCGAAAGAAGAACGTTTCGCAATATCACTGCCAACAAAAAAAAAATCAGAACTTCGCAAGAGATATATCCTCTTATAATGTATTATGCAATTGTTTTTCTAGAGACGCGGAAGTTCCAAGAGTTTCCCCAGCATTATACCCTTTCTGCATTAAAAAATATATATGGAAAAACAGTATTATAAATAACAAAAAAAAGTGAAACACAAAAGTATGGTTACATTTAAATTTTAGTAAGAAAGTTGTCGAATTGAAAACTAAAAACACAAAAAAAAAATAAAATAAAAAAAAACAAAGAGTTTATAAGTAAAAACACAGAACAAGCAGAAGGACTTTCGGTTCGAGCCCTGGCAAAAAGTTAACAATGTAATTTCGATCTTAAGTTGGTTTCCTTTAACCTTAGGTTGTCCGTGTTGAGGCACAATATTTTAAAGTACAAGATTTATATGTGTACCTTTGTTCCGGGAAGCAGGAAATGAATTTTCGTAGCTAGTTGGTGTGCGTAGTTTTAATGCATCTATCGATACCAATCCTCATCCATCACACACTCTGACATGAACAAAAACAGAAATACAAACTTTACTAGCATTTAAGCATCTACCAGTTCTCCTTATAAAATATATCTTAAAATTCAATTGATTATACATGTTTTGCTTAAAACTCATTTAATCAGGGGTAACCCAAAAATCTATATGCACTTAAAATCAAAGTGTAAAGGGCTTAAGATACCAAAGTAATGATTTTAAAATGTCTATAGATTCTTGGAAACACCCTACATAAGTTCCTATATTTTTATACCAGTTTTGAACCGTTTCAAGATCCGATTTCCGAATCAAATAAATCACATAAGCACCTCTCCGTCTAAAGCTTCCGATCTAGTCCTTAAAAACTTGACTTTTACGCGTCACTCAGGCTGCTACTTGGAATTGAGAATTCGACAACCGCTTTTGCATTATAAATAAAGAGATCGGCGAGATCGGCAGATCGGTACCCCGAAATCCAACGTCAGTTTCCATGGTTTGTTAAATTAATTTTAGGCAATCAGGTTAGACACAATGTCCTGGCTAAAAAGGACGCGCGGAGGGAAGGAATGTTTGTTTGTGAATGTTTCTCTTCGGTTTCTTACTTTGCAGAACGGACAGATGATATAAGACTTTTTGAATAAAAAACACAAAATATATAAGTACATTTAATACGATTGTTGTTTGTTTAGTTTTATACACCGCCACACTCGCACACACAAAACACACGCACACACCGATACATGCATATATATACTACTTAGCGGTATATGTACAAAAACGTAATCAAGCATTAGTGAAAAGTTTCGACCAGTTAAAAACCATAAATTAAATTTATTACAAAAACAAAAATCACCTAATGTGTAAACGCAAAAACGGCAAAATCAATAAATACAAAATGGATTAAACTAAGCCTAAATTTAGTTTTAAACATTTAATATATTGCAACAATAAACCGAAATGAAAATAAAACTCAAATTCAAACTTGAAGTACACATGCTTGTCAATGGGCGCCTGGGATTCCGCATATCCGTTTAAGTATATACTTTCTTCTTCGTTTCCAAAAGCCATTTTAGTTTTCAAATAAATATCACATTTAACATCAATATTATGATTTAATATAATTTTTTTTGTATTTTATAGTTCATACATAGAAGAATCCTAGTTCAAACCGATTTTTAATCAGGCATACTATTTCTAGAGGAGGAAGACATTCAAATTGGAATTGTTAGAGGTTGGTAAAGCATTTCAGCAAATAAAGTCAAATTAATTACTAAGTAAGAACTTCTTAAATTTATAAGAACTTATACTTATTAATTGTTTTGTCAGAATTGTCTGAAATGCTCTGCCAACCTCTAACTTTTGCAATTTAAACGTCTCCTTCAAAAAGTAGTCTGCCATTATTGAAGAAGTTCTTTGTTATTATTCTAAATTATCAATATTTTCGGAATTGCATTGCGCAACTTCTAATTTCAGTTCGATTGCCTTCATCCTCCTGAAACGGCCTTCCTGTTAGGGTCCTATTAGCTGGAGGATTTAATGTATTTCTGACATTATAATTCGAGTTCCAATTTTTTTCATCTTCATAATGTTTATCATCTGAAGACTCGTTCTTGACATTATGTACTGCTACTATGTTACCCCCTTGGTTTCTTCCTGCCTTTTTTCTTGGTCATTCCAAACCTTAAAATTGTAAAAAATTAATATTATTATTATTTAATTCAATTTTTCAATTTTAATCTTTTATGAAATTTAATGCTGAAAAATATATGGATCTTATGAGTTGCATAAATATTAAAAGAAAAAAGAAACAACGCCATCTATTCTCAGAGAAAACTCAATTCATGTTTTTCTAAACAGTATTTTTACCTCAAATAATGTACTTTTTACAAATGCATTTTACACGACGTAGAAAACAGAAACACCGCTGTAAACCAGGTGGTAGGTGCTGCTCCAAACCGTTCTAAGCCGCAGTTCCACGCGTGCGCAGCGCCAAAAGACAAACAGAGACGGTCAGAGCGAGTGAGAGAGAGAGAGAGGAAGCGAGGGGGAACCGAAGGGGGGGAGCCACCCTTTACCGTGGCGGAAAGCACACAAGCTCCGTCCGTCCAGCCGTCCGCCGATCCACACGACACAGCGCTGATTGCCGCCGCCTGTCGAGGTGAGGTTGTAGGAGCTGAACTGAGGTTAACCGAAAGCCAGGCCCAAGGAGCGAGCGAGAGGGGTCGGCAGGGAGAGCGGGACAGAGAACGACGGAGGCTGTGCGGCAGCTACTTGGCGTATTCGATTGTGGTACATGCACAACTATTTTACGTATGCCACACGGAGAAAAATGAAGTTACTTACTAAATTCGTTTTTAAGTTAAAAAAATTAAATATTTTATTATTAAAAGTCCTATTTGAGGAGCTTGTGTGTTGACAGGTCCGAGGTTTAATAGTGACTAATGACATGGCAAACAGGGATGTGAAAAGTTGACAGTTCAAAAGTTACATTTAACAATAGTTCAACTTGACAAAGTAAGTTGGTGGCAATCATGTTTAAATTATGAAATTGTCTAACACCAAAATAATATGTGGTATATCTAGTATATCTAAATATTATGAATATTTAAAAATTATACTCTTGCTTAGAAATCAATTATTCGATTTTATTTATTAAGAATTTTTAAAATGAATGCTTATAAAAAAAACACCAATTTTTTTTTGAAATTTTCTTAAACACGAAATGGTATATAACTGTTTTCTTAAGAAAATGTATCTTTGAATATGTAATTTCTTGCAGTGAAGTCTCTCGGCATGCGGCGATCTCTCTACCTCTCTCTTACCGTTGTGTGTATTTGTTTCTCTACCTGATGCCTGATTGCACTACCACTTTCACGCGGCTTACAAGCCGAGTGACAACAACAAAAACAGAACAACAAGACGGCGAGTTCGAAAGCGAACTGAACGGAGCAGCGAATTCGAATTTTCGATGATGAATGCAATGCCACAGAAATGAACGCAAAGTCGAGTCGGGAGATACGAAAGGCAGGAGCGGTTTATCCTAAGCGAGGGTGGCTCTCTCTCTCTCTCGAGCTCCCTCCCCCTCTCTTTCGGTCGCAAGTGCACGGTGAAGTGGAGGTGGAAGGTTCGTTGCCTAAGTCTTTTGTACCTGCCTGCGTTTTGGCCTCTGCAGGTGCACCCACACACACAGGGCTACCTGTGTTTTTCGATCGCCTGCCTTGGTATGTGTGCTCGGGAGTGTAGAGACAACAACCATCATCGATTCGAATGAATTTGAGTGGCGCTGCGCTGCCGGCGTCGCTGCCTCGCCGCGTTCTCCTCAATATCAGTTACGAAAGAGATGAAACCATAAAAAGCAATAATAATCGAGCGCTCTCTCACCTGCGCACAGCGCACACGGACAGCACCTTGCCACCAATACATCGAAGCACCGCAGACGTCGACAGAGGTGGCAGCAGCAGCAGCAGCGGCGGCGGCAGCAGCAGCAGCAGCACATTCAACAGTTGAACAATCTCCAATTGACTCTTTGGGCATTATAGCCGAGAGCCGAGATCCAGCGACAGCGACGACAAATTTTCCGCGCACACGGAAAGTCAGCAAGTTAATACACCGATAATAATATATACCTATTCAATATACAAATCTGACTTATCGGTTTTACCAACAACAAATTGGTCTGTGAATACGCGTGTCTATCGATCATAGCGAAAATCCACGAAAATTATACACCAAACAAACAGCTAAAAGTCGCGCTTAAACTTTTTCGAAATTAAATAAAACACACACACGAATTTCAGCCACGAAGAGGAAGAGAAGGCTGAAAAAGCGAAAAAACCGCGTGTGTGTGAGTGGGTTTCTGTGTATCTGTGTGTGTCTCCTCTCGGAGAGCGTGAGCTGAGCTTTGTGGCCATGCGTGTGTGTGTGTGCGAGCTGGAATGAGACGCCATCAAAGCTGAGCAGCGAATAAAAAAATGCAAAATAAAAATAGTGATTAATAACAGCAGCCAGAACCAGCAGCAACAACAATGCTAGTGCGGAAAAGCGCGTGAAAAATAGTGGAAATACTCAGCAAAAACGAAAATAGTAACTAAATTTATTAGTTTGAAAACGCAAATGCCAGGCGAAACGCCCCCGAAACGACCCGCCCTCTGCCCCCCAACTTTGCGCCTTTCAGTGTTCAGCAGCAACAGCAACAATAACAGCAGCAGCACCAGCAACATGAGTAAAAACAGCAGCAACATCGAATGTTAGGCCAAAATGCAACAACCGAAAGCAACAAAGCCAGCAAGCAGCAGCAACAACAACAACAACAGCTCCACATACCACAAAGAGTGGCATATTAGAAGCGGCCAAAAGCAGCCAGCCAAGAGCATTGTGTAAGCCAAAGCCAAAGGCCCAGAGAGCCAGGCTGAAAAGCCCCCCAGACGCACAAC